ATAATAATAATAATAAGTTGAAGGTCTTCTGAGCCAAGGCCTCTACCAAACGCTCCCTGCACACCCTAACTATACTACAGGTATATGTTTTCACCAAGATGCCCAAGATATATGGTTGTAGATCTGATGATTCAACAACAAAATCCATCATCAATCCATGAACTAGGATGTTCTGGTGCTACAGTATATGCACCTTTATGCTCAAACATGGTGTTTGTACAGACAAAGTCCAGAAACAGAGCACCACTTGGGTTCAGATTTGGCAGGCAGTTCCTCTCAATCACACCCACACAGGATTCACTGTCATTGCCCATGTGAATGCCACACTCCCCCAGCAGAACAATGGAGTCCCCGAGGGGGGGGGGGGAGGGGGCACCTTCCAGCAGCCTATCCTCAGTCTCTAATAAGGCTGCAAACTTTGAACTGATGTTTGGTGATAACAATCAGAGTCAGTCCCCTAACTCGAATTTGAAGGGTGAACTGTGTGGTCTTACCGCCGAAACGAGGGGGGGGGGGGATATTGCGCTATGAGTATACCCACACCATGAGTATACCCACACCATGAGTATACCCACACCCACGCCTGCCCATCACCTCTCACTCCGGAGTAGAAGGGAATCCAGCCTCTCTCCAGGGACCTCATTTTTCATACTTTGCACAAATGTTATCATGAAACAATGTGCACAGACGAAAAGAAAAAAAATGCACTGATACAAAAAAATGTGGATTTATTATACCTGGTGTATGCACTACCTGGTGTATGCACTACCTGGTGTATGCACTACCTGGTCTATGCACTACCCACTCTCCCGCTAGTCTGCACTTACATTGCATTTAACGTTCAGGGCCCAAGCACACTTTTGTCGCTATCGCTCAGCACAATGAAGTTCACAATAAATGTCCTTATTTTTGGATTAGGGACATTTTGGGTGTGGTAACACACGGCCTTCTTATAGATTTACTGAGTGTGCAATGAAGCAATTTTCATTTACTCATGTTTCAGGCATAAGAAGATAGTTCAGTTTTGTATCAAATATCTTGGAGTTTTTGTGTGTTGCATCCAGTTGCTCCTGGATATTCTCATCAGTCCAAATTTTCAGCAAACACTGCACCTCTGCCGCAAACGACAGTGATCCCTTTGCCACCGTGTACCGTGTACAGAGAACATGTGCACAGGCGTTTGCCAATTGCATCATTGACATCGTGTCTGTGTTCCTTGTTCGGGGACTGTTACCAATCACACTGGAGGTGTTCCGTGCCCAAGTCCAACTGAACCGTGCCCGGGCCCACCTCTTCAAGCAGGTCTGGGCCTGTTTTTCTGTACCATCCCTGGACACGGTACGGAGCCTAGCGTGAGTGCACCCTAGAAATGTGTGCTGAGTGGTAACACATCGCCACCACAGTAAATTTCATCAGCACTAAAATCAACCCAAAAAAAAGTGCTCGTATCTGAAGATTGAGAGAAACGACTTGAGCACAGGGCCAGTGTGACTTCATTTATCGGGGGTAAATCCACAGTATTAGTTCTAAGCCATTTGAGACAGGGGGGTCGGGGGGGAGGGGGGCAGACTGGGGCCAGTTGTTCTGCTGGGGGGGGCAAATGCATTTGACCTTAATGTCCTCCAGCTATTACTTACATAGATTGCCAGCACTAAGAAGCAAAACACAATTTTGAAAACTGATGTTATTTATGCAATGCTTTGCAGTTCCATTTTACAGTTTTTATAAATAAGTAATTCACTCTGATTTCTTGTTGAGACTGTCTTGCTTCCACAAGCCTAGTTATGTTTTTTCCTGTCGGTAACTTTGCTTTTCACCAACTGAAGTGACTCGACGACCCGACGCAGTAATAGTTATAATAACAGCACGTTTATTTCAGATCCATGTAGCATGTGTATTTAGGGGGGCACAGGGGGGCATGGAAGTTGTCACAGGGGAACTGACCCCCCCTAGAACTGCCCTTGCAAACCAAGGATCGTTCTGCTAAGGCCCCTGCCTTCGAGTGCCACCCGATCCACAATGCACTGGACCCCCAAAGTCGCCCCCCCCTGCAGGTGGTGGGCCCACAGGAGGTAAATGATAATCCTTAGTGAAAAGCCTCAGTGGCTGAATGAAGACAATCGTGCGACATGATTAGCATGATGGCTTAGAATGGACTTTTGTGTGGGAGTTTTAGGAATTCCCATTTATAACAATACATTAGGACACAAGGAATGAATGGGTAACCATCACCTACGTCTCAAGAAGGACACCCCCAAATCTAAATAAATATAATGCATATATAAATAAATTTTAGTGTATATAGATATAAATGTAAATATAGGACAAAAGTACTACAGAGCAAATCTGAAGGTTCATGGAACAGATGAGCAGTTATAATCTGTAAGGACATGTCGTAATTGGTAGTAATTAGAATCTTTTTGGATTTAAAATACCACCTGTTTTTTATATAAGTACAGTATCGTGACTGAATGGGTGACTGTCCTGCTAACTCTTATTTTTTCTCTGCACAAATCAAACAATCCCTCTTTCTGTTTAAGACTTCAATTAATATAAGTTCACAGTATATGACTGTTAACTCATAGCTCATGGTGTCTACTCATGATTTATTTTGAATCCCAGTCAGATGGAAAGAACATTCATGTGGCATGTCCAGCATGTCCCACCAGGGGGTGCAATTTCCTCTGAACGCTTAAATTTTTGCCCATTGGTTATCTTAACTTTTAGTTCATTTCAATTGCTTGTTACTCCAATGAAATCTACACACCCGACGAAGTATTATACTTAATTCAAAAAAGAAATATAATTTTACATATTGTAAGAATGTAAGCCTACATTACATATGCCTGGATTCTCATTTGATAGCTCAAGTTTGCCTATAGAATATGTTTTTCAGAAGATGAGTTAAGATAAGGGTAAACTCAGAAGGTTCATTGTAAGTACTTCAATATATGTGCTAATAAAAAGGAGGAAGTTTTGAACCGTTGAAGGTTAACAGAATCTTCACACTCACACCCTCGTGAAATGACTTATCATCTTATCAACCTTCATGATGATACATCAGGACTTTGACACATAAGTGGCTCTCTGAACATTCTGACTCAACGTTCAGCATTGCATTCTATTTTTAGTTTTCATTTATTTTATGTCTCACTTGAAACTAGACTTTTTTTTTAAAAAAAAAGAACATGAAGGTTGGGGGAAAATACTAATTTTCTGAGTACTTTGTAATTTACTATGTATATTTCCTTGTTTGACCCACTTACAAGTTTATTCGAGAGAAGGAACAATATGAAATTCAACTTAAGCAGGAACAGTTTTCTTCAATTTGCATCAAAAGCACTTTTGTATTTACATACTTATTGCTCTTTTATTGGAGTTATAGTGTATAAATAAGGTACATATTGGTATAATATACTGAGAATATGTCATGATTTTCAGCATTAAGAATTTCATTATTGCATATCTGGCATTAGCACTTTATAAAATACATGGTAATGTTTTATATTAACTGCACCTTCACCATGCATTTATTAAGCATTCATAGAACATTCAGTGTACCTTCATAATGCATTTATAATGCACTCAAAGAACATGCATTAGGAGCATATAAGTATACTTCCACATGTCATAAAGCATTGCATTCATAATACAGTAGCACTTAAGGCCAAGTTTTTAGCAATGCATAAACACATTCATTATGCATTATAATGCATTCTTTATGCATTATAAACATGGCCATAAATATTTATAAAAAGGCATAACATGTTATAGCTATGTTTTTATGTATTATGACTACCTTATGAAGCTCTCATCTATTATGCACTATAGAATCCTCTATAATACATTACAAAGCATCCTTTCTCTTATACAGACCATTATAATGTATTATAAAGGTATCTAAAGTGCATTATAGATGAGAGCTTCACAAAACATTCACAATGCATAATACACTTGGCTATAATGTGTTATGCCTTTTGGACTGTGGGGGGAAGCTAGAGTTGAACAAGACATGACAGTTGTACTATACATTAATAACAAACATTATAATGGTATAATCATACACTGTTTCTTATTGATGCATATTGAAGCTGTTAGGGTATGTTAGGGTGTTATACTTATGCTGCTTGTGAATGTGCTTTGAATGCATGATCATGGTGCACTGAATTTTCTATGAATGCAAAAAGCATGCATTATGAAGGGGCAGTTAATGTAAAGCCAAATATTTTTCTAGATTAAAAGGTGATTTAATTATCTTTTTTTGTGCACAGAAGAAATTTTCACCCATCCATCTTCTAACAAAGTATCCAGTACATAGTTGAGGAGGGACTACAACCTATCCTGGGCAGGATGGAGGACAAAGAGGGAAACCAGGACAGTATACTAGGCTATTTAAGGGTACACACTCACACTCTATAGCATTTTACAGATAGGACTGCGAAATGGACTATCCAGTGAAAAGCCACACACACAGGAAGGGCATGAAAATTCCACTCATCCAGAGCAAGATTCAAACCTCCAGTGCTGGAAGCATGAGGCAGCAGGACTTACTGAGCTATTGTACCCTCATATGCATTTTGATCTCACTTTCCATTTTCCTTTACCATGCACAACACGTGACTCTTCATGAGACCTTTCAAGGTCACGTAGCTTAAGAGATGAATGTAATAATGTAGTCATCAAGCACCTCCAGACGTACCTCTCTGCAGACACCAGTATAACCAGTCAGACAATTTCAAGTGATTGTGTTGTTTTTCAGTTTATGTGCATTACCCGTATTTTGTCATAGTAAAATGCTTTCACAATAAAATGCTTGAAAGAAATGCAGGCTGAAACCCTGCAACATTTTGCAAAATACATTCAAATTGCTATCTGTAGTTTCACAAGCATTCCATTTTGTCACTTAGGTTCCAGATATTTCCTGCGAACTAACCTCACAGTTATCTTCCTCATTTAGAGCTTCCTCTTTGCAGTGCTGCCCTATTAATGATCGGACGCTCTGCCTTATATGCATTGTTGTCTGCTACGCCAAGAGAAGTACTGTCTGAACTGAGAACACAAGCAAGGGGCTTCTGGGAAACAACGCAACTGAAAATCTTCCAATGACCGAGAAGCTCAAGTCAGGTAAGTTAGCAGAATAATAATTTAAGAAAATCGTAATCATACCAAAACGACAGTAAAATTATACTGTGTTTGCATTGACAGCGCATACTGTAGTATTTTAGGTGAGAAATTACTCTTTATCTCTTATGTTGTGATTATTTTAGTGAAAATGAAAATGTAGATAATGGTTTCAATGTACTGCTTGGAACAGAGAAGAACTGCACACGAAATAAACCACTTTCATTATGGTTAATATCTCAAGAAAGAAGAACTTTTAAATATTTCAGTTTTCTTGTTTTACACTCTTGTTTTTCTGCCTAAGTGTCTCTGCAGCACAATCCTCACAGTCACACCATAGTTTTTTTTAAGGTAACATGAAATTCATCGACTTAATCGCCATGTTGAAAAAATGTCAAAAACCTTCTCAATAAATATCTGTGATGTATAATCACTTTTAATACCCAAATTTGGAATTCACGGCAGCTATTTTATATTTTCACTACAAATGAAACAGACTGTTCATCTAAGGTAATGCACAAGCTAGAAATATTTCATATATGGTAATCAGTAAAAATATTAAATTGGTAATATATTGATTTTTAATTAAAGCATTTTTCATGTATTGTTTAATGTACAATTATTAATTTAATGTATACCTTCTGTCTTTCTATTTAACTAAAGAATCAGGCCTACATAAAAGTATTTTTTTTAATAATCCATGTGCCATTCTTTAACTTTCAGGCGTTTGAAGCTCATCAGTACAGTCCATCCAAAAGGCTTCCCCACTTAGTGTATTTGACAAGCTGAGTCGGACACTCGGTATGTCAGGGTGTCAGTTTGTCAAATACCCCAAGTGAGAGGTCACTTATCGCCATGGTGACGTCCCGAAGTTCCCAGGCAACCAGATTCAAAGATATCGTTGGAGTCACAACCTGTAAGCTTGCAGTTATCTCAGAGCACAGTTTGGAGCCTGATGTTTAATCTCTTTTCTCCAAGCTGCTTATGAGAAATCTGTATGCACAGTTTAATATGTCAGAGTTGAATATTTTTGTGATTATATTTAATACATTTATACCAGAGGAATCCTATTTCTTGTCATATATGTCAATATGAAACATTTGAATAAAATCTAAAATAACTTTAATCATGATTGTATGATATGCAAACTAAAATATTTTTTGAAAAGTAAAGTTAGAAAAATATAATGAATTATGTATATATATTTTTTATGATTTTTTCTATAATAAAATGTAATCTTGGCATGAAATGACACCAAGATAATTAGGTACATCATAGGGTTAATTCATGAACTTCAAAATGGAGGGCTATCTGATGTTATTTTATGCCATAAGCCGTTTAAGGCTATCAATAATGGCATTTCTGGAGACTTCCCCTCGCGTGTAGGCTTTGAGTAAGAGAGGATGTGTGTTATCTTGTGATCAGATGGCTATATATGGAACATGTGTGCCATTGTAGAAGAGAACGTGGTCATAGAGACACTCACCACAGGCAACCAAAAGACATGGCAGCCTTGGGTTACTACTCAGCCCTGAACTGTTATATTTTACTTGGAAATGAACATTTTAAAAGTGGTATTGGGCCGGGGTGTCTGAGACCAACACCATCTACCAGCCCCCACTGACAACGTGAAATGAGTCATAGTGAACTAGCCTTTCTGGTCCTATGCAGTGTAGTACCTTTACTCATTGACTTTTGATATTGAAAAGGGGCATATATTATGCAGTGAGTAGAGTGAAAAGGCAATTATTTCTTGCCCTTATATTATAAACTTTAAGGTTTCACTTCCTCAACCCTGAATTATGTTTCTTTTGTTCTTTCCATTCTTATTTCTCTGCAGTGGGACAGGATACTTTCGATTTTGTTATGTCCATGAAATATCCACATTAATATTTCAGTTATTTCTTACTCTGTTAGTATATAATAAACTATTTATTAATCTTGATTCACAACGACTCCCTCTAGAAATCTCTGGCAAAAATATATATGAAATTTGTATATGCAAATGGTGCAATGGCGCAGTGATTAGCCCTGGATCCAGGGTTCGCGTCTCTGCTCGGTCCAAAAGCATGCTAAGGTGAACTGTGTCTCGTCAATCACATTATTGATACCGTCCTGTTCTTAAGCTGTTTATTTTTTAAAAGGAATTAGTGATGTTAGCCTATTTTTTATTCAGGGGAATATTTAGCTTCAAATTTTATTTTAGCTCTTAAAAAATGACTGCGGTCTGGACCTCAGTGACCTCATAGCTGGCTACACCCCCTGCCTGTTGTGCAGTTTTATTTTCAGGTATGACTTTGGCCTAAGTGGGGGTGTCATGTTGCATCAGTAGGTGGAGTGAGCACCCTTACAGTATGTGTCCACTTTGCTTGTTCTCCCCAACTTGTATGGGTTACCTCTAAGTATTCTGGTATCCTGTGGGCCAAATATATTTTCCCAAAAAACAACAGAATGTGCAGAATTACAAAGTAAAATTAAATGGAATATTACATACAAATGAAAGGAAAAAGCCAGACTGGGCTATTTTCTTCCGTTATGCATGTACACCAGGGAAAAAGCATTAACATAACCTATGCATTTTCACAAACTATATTGCAATATACTTACAAAGGCATCTGAAAGATGAGCTTTTTCCTCTTCCTCTTCCTTTTCTTCGACGGTGCAGTTCATGGAGGGTCAGAATATCTTGGTGGTACATACTGCCACCTGCTGTTCTTGAGTGCAATTACTCCAGTAACAAAACCCCGATAAATTCAAATCCTGAAATATAACACATAATACTGAGGCCTGTCGTAATTTTTTAATACTAAAAAAATCCTTTTGGAACAACTCCAACAGTCCGCACAAGGCCCTCTTCAAATCTGCAGGGAATAATTTGTAAAAACACACATTTTTGAAAACTGTAATACAAAAAATAATACAAAAAATGGTTCCGCCTGTCACACCATGGCAAAAGTGTAACATTTATCCAGCCCCTCCCTCCTCCATTCAACTGTCAAAATGGTAAGTCGTCAAAAGTCAGGCGCTCAGAAAAGGGAGAGAAAAGCGAAAGAGAAAATGATAGCAGGGGTGACTCAAATAATAATGGTCGGTTATATACATTAACAGATAAATTGGTTTATAATGTATGTGGTAATTGTGCATAAGCCTGTGTCTGGACTGTTTAAGGTTTCCCATATGAATCTAATGTAGAGATCATTAAATAAGGAGTTTGTTATAGACAACTTCAGACTTCCATTAGACAATACATATTAGAAATGCAACAATGGTGCCAATTAAGCTAAAACTAAAGACACTGCGACTGAAATCAAAAAATGGGAAATAGAGAGAAATCAAGCTTTCAGCTATGTGCTAGCTTGGCAAAGCACAGGTTTTTGGTGGTGCACAGAGTAGCTAAATGACTTAGCTCACCAGCATGCAAGGAATTTTTGGGGGTAATGATACGATTAGATGTTGTCAAAGAAATTGAGAAAATCCCATTATCTTACAACACTGTAATACAGTGTGTATACAACATGTCAGGTCGCATAGAATCTGTCCTCAGCAAAAAAAAATAAAAATCCTGCAAATAAGTGATACATTTGCTCTCCAAATTGTTTCATCTGACAATACTGACCACTGGCAACTAATTGCTATTGAGAGATTTGTGGGAGATTGAAGGATATTTTAATATGTTGCAAAACTTTATATATGTACTATGGGTAAAGAGAAATTCAGGGTCAGTATACATGTATAACTGACGAGAGAGAGCTTGTGGCGTAGTGCTAAGACAACAACCTCTCCTTAAATGCTAGTAGAGATATAAGGAGGAGATTATTGTGGAGCGACTCCTTTGAGGTCACATCAATGAGGATCTCAAAACGCTACTCAACTGGTATAGTAGTCTCAACAACATCTGTACTTCCTGAAAAAGCTAAAGATATTTGGCACCAGACAGAATCCTAAACAACTTATATAGGGTGACTATTGAAAGCATTTTTACCAGCAGCATCACAGTCTAGTTTGACAACTGCTCTGCAGAGGACCTCACATGTGATCAGAATTGCTCAAACCATCTGAGGAATAGCATTGTCATCTCTGTAGAACATTTATCATACCAGGGTCACCAGGAGGGTCCATAGTATCATAAATGACAGTTCCCATCCCCTGTACAACCGATTCACACTCCCACAATCAGGTAGACGCTACAGGAGTTTGAGATAAAGGAACACACTGACCCTCCCCCCAACATCCCTGAAACTATTGACACAATCTACTATCAGCCCAAGAGTTTCTGGGCTTGCTCCTCCCCACAATAGACAATGTTGCACATAGACTTCTGCAAACTTTACACAGCATTCAAAGTACTTGCATTATATGTTTATATTGCGCTATATGTTTACTTTACATTGCACTGTTATGCATTGATTGTCATAATTTATTTCGTATTTATTGTTTTTGAAGCACCTTAATTTATACTTGTGTTTAATTTGAGTTTACCGGTGGCTGGAAGGACATGCAAAGCAAGATTTGCATTGCATATTAAAACTGACTGTATACTGTGCAATTAACTCTTTGAATCATAACTTATTAGTAGATAATTTAATAGAGCAGAAACTTAACTGGGGATATGTCTGTACCACTGACATTGCTTAATTCATTAGGCAGGTCAAAGGCTTGTAATGAAAGCTAAGGAGGAAAATCCTAGTATTACAGTTAACCACTGCGTACTGGTGGAGAGGTGCTTGCAGGTCTGATCAGTATGATAAATTAGATATTCGACTTCCTCAGACCTTTGTCATACAGCTGCTCCCCACAACTTCTACAAATATTCTTCCTCTACTCTTTCGTCATTGACCGCTGATCTGTGAAAGTCCATGCTGCCACCTATTGGAAATGCCTATTCAATTCAATTCAATTCAATTTTCTCTATAGCTCTATAAGAGAATGCTCTGCAGCCTGTCGTAGTTCTTTCTACCCTAGGTACTAACAGATATCCTATATCCAGCAACAAGGGTTGTAAGAGACCAGTAATTCTCTAAAGTAATCAATTGTCTTTCATATCGAAACAAGTCAATATGCATAGATGCACAAGGTTTCCGCTAGACATAAAAATATGGATTACATATGTACTGACCACAGCCATCTACAGCCAACCCCTGATGAAATTTATGTCACGTCCCCTTGTACGCAACTAAAATAATACATGGAAACGCGAACTACGAACTGGCCATTAGAAATTGCAAATCTGGATACACTGGAGGCGAGGTCTGAAATATTTTGTCCTCATGTAAATGAGTAACACGATTGGGTCCAGGTTCCTTCGACTCTCTCGTCATAGTGTCTACATCAAAATTAAACAATAAACAATTTCCTCTGGGATAATAAAAGTATTCTGATTCTGAAGATATTTCACTACAAGAGCTCAAGACAAGGCTTTGGAGGTTGAAATGGACCACTTGCTGAAAATAAAACACAATTTGATTCAATTCAATTCTTTGTTGTCATGTGTACAAGTACGAGAACCATGTACAATGAAATTATTTCTTGCATGTGCTCCTGCAGACAGTGAACATAGACAACAAGACAGCTAGACAACAAGACAATGAGTAAATAAATAAGACCAGAATCCCAGAAATAAATAGAGACAGTGGCAGAATTATATGTGTGGGTAGCAGTGGAGGTGACACAAGGCTACTGATTGTTCATGAGTCTGATTGCAGTTGGGTAGAAACTGTTCCTGAACCTGGAGGTGCGCATCCGAATGGACTTTAGTCGCTTCCCAGATGTTCAAGTTGAATCCGGCCTCAACATAAACATCTTCAATTGGCTCAGCAATCACAGTTGCAGTGCACAGGCAAAAACATAGAGGAATTAGGGAGTGCTGTAAAGTGATACTCACTTGCATGTATGTATGTCACTTATCTTGCACATGCTCCCTGTTCCTCTCAAATGGAACTCCATATATGCTTCATTCTCATCCTGTTTCTTCTCAGTGTGCAACCAACAGTGGAGATAGCAATACTCAGTGTGTCATGAAATATGCTATTGTCCTCTATGTGTCTTTGTACTTCTCCGAGTCTGATGACATGTCTGATTGTGTATTGACAATTTCTTCTTCTGGACTGGAAAGACAATTTCTCCCACCATTTTATTTGTACATATACTATCACATAAACTAACCATTATCATCTTTCAGAATGAAAAGAGTATTAGTTTGACTTTCGTTTTCTATTAAGTCTGCATGGTGAAATCAGTTAATGTGTCTCCTAGATACAGAGAAGCCATAAATGTGCAATTGTACCACAAAACTTACCTATTTCCTCTGATAAACATCCTAAATATTGCAGCTATGGTAATTTTGCTAGTTTCTTGCATAGTCATATCATGGTTGATGACCCTGGAAAACAAAATTGGTCTTAACTCATTTGATACCCGTTTCTTCCTCCTCTCATGCCCCGGTCGTCCTGATCCTCCTGTGTGCCACGCCCCCCTCTCTACCTTGTGTGGAATCCCCGTGTTCCCAGCTGTTCCTATTCATGGTAATTACTGTGATGTATTTAATTCCGTGTCTGTGTGCCTGTCGTTAGTCTGATCATTGACGTTGTGCTGTTGTGAAGCCTGTTCCGTGTAGTACTCCATGTTCCCCGAGTTGCCTTTCCAGAATAAACCCTGCGTTTCCCCGTATCTTTGGACTCCTGTGCCTGCTTCCCCGCTCCTGCATCTTCACCTACCTCCTCCCTTCTTTTGTGTTAATTTTTTGTACTACATAATATTTAGGGAACCAAGTTACTCAATTAGGTTGATTGCGTTTGCATAGATCTTAAACATGTTTTCCTGTATTAGCTCATTGTGTTTGGATGGCTGACTGAGGTGTTTCTCCAAAATAAGCAGCTGTTCTCACAATGATAGCTGTGCTACTGTGTTCAGGTATGTATGAAGATTTTTCTAAAATGTGTGCGCCAGAATTACTTTGGGTAATGAACATGGATCTGTGGTGTTTGTGTCAGCAATTTATTGACTGGTGAAGTCATTCAATGAAGGTGTATAATCAATTGAGATATAGTGTAATAAATCAACAGGCATTTGTAACTGTAAGCTTTATAAAAAAAATAATGACTGATCACCTGTATGAAAATATAATGCATTCATACAACAAACAACAAATACAACAAGAAGGTATACAAATGTTTGAAAATACAAGTATAAACAGGACAGTAGAGTCATCACAATGGGGGGAACAGGATCTATGGCAATAACGATTGACAACTCCTGAAAATGCACCTACTGATGAGTGACAATAAACAAATAAATCCAGCCAGGCTGAGGTGGCACAGGAGACCTAAATAAAACTGGGAAGCAGAAGATTTTTCATAAATACTTTTTTTTTGTTTTGTTTTAAACCTACTTTTCTGCCTGTTTGGCTTTAGATATCATCATTCCCTTCAGACATATGACACATGGCAGATGTAAAAACTGCATATGCAGCCTCCTTCCAGCCTTACTGTCCTTGTGTTCACATATTATAATCATTAAGCTGCATGGAAAAAGAAAAAGAGTAAAACTACCGTAATAGCTGATTAAGTGATAAAAGCATTACAAATGTAAACATTATGGGCAATTGTTTTGAAGACAATGTTTACTGACCAAAGGATTTTAGACTATTATCGTAAGCCAGTTTTCTGAACTGAAAAAAACTGAAAAATGAACAGAGAAAAAGTGATTTTCAAAGTTATTTTCAGTACAAGTAGTGCACAGAACGCAGACAGTGTACACTGAAGATGCCTCACAACATGATCAACATGATCAATTGGACATATGGATTTATCATTTTATTACATAAAACAAGCAAATCTGCATTAATCATTGTCACTGCAGCAATTCACACAATATGATTTCCGCCTGAATGATGTTGGCACCCAACAAAACAGACCAGGACTTAAAGTCTAGTGTATCTTCACAAGCTGGTCCATTGCAGGCTTTCTCCACTATGTTCTAGAAATTTAGCTTATATATATATAAAAAGGTAAACATTTCAAATCAGGTGACTTGATGCTACATCTGCTTCTTTAATTCCTGCGTAATAATGGCCTTCATGTCACACCAGAGCCCCCCAGGCAGTGTTGGTTTTCACAGTGTTGACACATCGTACGTCAGCTGTCTCTGCGTTGCAGATTCACAGAGTATAAGGGGGGGGTGTCAAACCTTTGCAGGTTGTAGCAGGTGTTGATGAGGTCAGGCACCATATGCAGGGCAAAGGAGCAGAAATATTAAAACACATGACAGAAACCCTCTCAAATGATGCAGTACTTCCAGGAGATCCGAAGCCACAGGCTGGTAATTCTTCTCTCTAGGCAGTTAATTGTCTTCTACAAGGCCAAAGACTCTTTGTTTCCCAAGTTGACAACTGAAGAAAAAAAGCATGTTTAATTATTGTGCCGTAAAATCATCACAGCCCCCGATATATTCTATTAATACAGAAATTACTGTATTTACGGTAAGACATTCTGACCTTCTGTCAATAATGTTGCATGTACGGTATATCAGTTGTTAACAAAGTTAATAGTAGTCAATGAAAGTGATCAAATATATTTGCTGTAAATTTCTCAAAAAACCAAAAAGATAGCTTAAGTAAAGTTGATGGGAAACGTCTCTTTGTATTTCAGATTCTGTTCAATGCTGTTGTAGACATAACCAGAGTGGGGGTGGCCTGCTGGTGCAGTGGTCAGCACTGTGGTCTCACACCTGTGGGACCTGGGTCTCCGTCATGGTTCCGTGTGTACAGTTTGCATGTTCCCCCCGTGTCATTGTGGGGTTTCCTCTGGGTTCTCCAGTTTTCCCCCACAGTCCAAAAACATACTAAGGTGAATTGGCTTTACCTAATTACCTGTAGATGTGTGTGTGTTCTGTGATGGATTGGTACTCTCATCTATAATGTACTATAGATACCTTCATAATGCATTAGAATAGTTATTATAAGAATTAAGGATACTTTGTACTGTATTATGAAGGTATCTATAGTGCATTATGAATGACAGCTTGGTAATGCATAATGAACATGGCTATAATGTGTTGTGCCTTTCATAAGTATTTATAGCTATGTTTATAATGCTTTGTGAATGTATTATAATGTCATGAATATGTTCATAGATTCCTATAGACCTGACATTCATAGAAAGTGTTACCACAGTTTCTAGTTTTAGTTAAAAATAAGAGAATATGTAACTTCTGAAAGTTCTCCAAAATAACATGCTACATTATTAAATGACATGTCATCATTGAAAGATCAAAATATTAAATATTTTACCTTGCATTTTTACACAGTTCTTCATAGTTATGGTCAGTACGTCAGATGCCTATGAAGAAAGACATTTTCAGAATTAAAATACATATTTCACATGCAATTATACCACACAGGCAGAGAAATTATAAATGTTCACTAAATGAGTAATGTTGACTTACAGCTATTGTGAGCTGACTGGCTTATAGAATATTCTGTTACACCTTGCCTTTCAACAGGTAAAACAGCAGATGGTATTATGTGGTTGACAGATTTTAAGCCTAAACCAATGTGACGCATGAAATTCTAGACCTTCAGGAAGTAATAAGGACATTTATATTTATGATAAATTCAATTTTACTGACTTCAAATTTTACATCCATATTAATTATCATTTTCCAATGAACATGAACTAATGCAAAAGTATGATAAACTTTTTGTTATATCCAATCACTGCTACTACTATTTTTACACTGAAATATGATACTGGTTATATTATGTAACTCTTTAAGTACAATTATACAGTACTGTACAAAATCTTAGGCAGTCAAAGGAAATATTTAAAGCTATTTGTCTGGGTAGTAAGTGCACTTTTGCTCAGAATAAAAAAAAACACAATTTAGCATTAGAACACATGCAAATTAAGAAAGAACTAGAAAGAATTTCTTCTGTTCTCCAAAAAGTTACTGATATCGGGTTGGATGGCTAGATGAACACGGCTTCAGTTCCCAAACCTTCTCCTCAGGGGAACCTCAGCCAGTCCGTGTGTTTATTACATTTTGCCATCAGCTCACTTAAATAAATTATTTAATTAGTTTATCATTTTTTTAAATTGATTATCTATGCAAAGTGTGCTAGTGGTCGGGTCAAAAAATCCATTGGTGTATTGGATGGTTGCTGAAAATTCGAACATGAATATCATTTAAACATCATTTTCTTTGGCTGCCTAAGACTTCTGCACAGTATTGTATGTTAAATATTCTGGAAATAATAAATATACAGAGATTGCCTTCTTGCTATCTCCCCTGCTGCCAGTGATGTCACCCTTGCCTGTGACGTATCTCCTGCCTGCCCGACTGCCAGTGATGTCGCCCTTGCCTGTGACGTCTCTCCTGCCTGCCCGACTGCCAGTGACGTCGCCCTTGCCTGTGACGTCTCTCCTGCCTGCCCGACTGCCAGTGA